CATACAGTACCTGCCAAAAGTTTTGTTCAATCATGAATAGTAGTGCGAGTCGAAAACAAGCGTTAAAGTCTTTAATATGTCTTCAAATATAAATAAACATCTTTTTGACATTTTCAATAGTAAATGGTATCAATAACAGCACATTTGAGTAATGCAATTGTAGTGGATAAAATGGTCAACTTTTCCGTACAGTACTGTACGGATATACGTTCCTCACCGGTTAAGAGTTTGGCCGAGAGTTGTCTCCTTCCTTTTCTGGCCTAGTGCTGTTCTTTTCTACTTTGCGCCGGTCAAACTGAAGGTCACATCGCTACAGAAACTAAACGAAGTATANTGTCGAACGTCATTGTGGTTGGCATAAAGCTTCCAATTCCATCAGGGAATTTTGTCATAAACATTTCCTTTCAATATTTGCAGATATTCTCGAGACGACATAATCGGTGAAGTGTTTTGTGCTTTGAACTCAATCGACATCAATCAGGCTGAAAATCAGCAAATCGCCTTGTGCAGAGAAATTCAACCTCGCAGTCTAAAGGTGCGTAATAACAAAACACCCGGGTGCGTTACTTTTATTTACCCCCTACCCACTACATAAATACCAATCTTGAAGCCTTGACACAAAATTAGCGTCATCAACATATTTGTGATTGTAGATTCGATCCCAAGGACGTGGCGAATTACTTGTGTCCTTGTGCTGGCAGCCTGCTGCTAATAGGTTAACTGTTGTCGTCCTGAAGGCTCGCAATCTCCCGAAAATGGACGTAACAGGTTTGGCTGATCCCTACGTCAAGATTTATCTCCTTTATAATGGTCAGCGCATCGCAAAGAAAAAGACTCACGTTAAGAAGAGAACACTGAGTCCTGTCTTTAACGAAAGTTTTGTTTTTGATATTCCGTCTGGCGGCGAAGAATTGACCAACGTTAGTTTAGAGTTCTTACTCCTTGACTGGGATAGGGTCACCAAAAATGAAGTAAGTACGAATCATAAACATAAAATCAACAATTTTATCGATTAAATCTACCTACGTCGACATTTTCGAATGATCCGGCTCGAAGGACCACTAAATTTTTTTGTCTTTCCAGGTTATAGGAAGGTTAGAATTGGGCGGACCCAAGTGCACTGGCAGTGCCCTTCACCATTGGAACGAGGTTTGTAATTCGCCAAGGAGGCAAATAGCCGATTGGCACAAATTACGCGAATAATACCAATAAATTCGTTAACTAATTATTATTACAGTTACATAAACAGTAACCCATTTAGCTATCGTTTAAAGAATTTTCTGTAGTCTGGCAATTGAAAATATCGATGTGCTGACATTAACGAAATACAAAATAACAACAAATACCTACACCAAAAACGTAGTCTTACTTACGTATAAAAATAATGGTTAGTTAAATAGCAATTAAATGTACGAGGTACTCTACCATCCCTAAGGCATCTTATTTTAAGTTGTGGACAGTGTCCAGAATTCGTGTACAACATTTAGCTTAATGTGATAGGACTGACAAATATTTACGTAATGTAAACATAAAGATATATGTAAATGTAACGCTTAGGTTACAATAGGTAAAATATAAATTAAACAATTTTCAGATTTTTTATCCTAAAACTGCAATTTGATTAAAAAAAAAGTCCAAAATCTTTGAGTGATATCCTTTTGGATTATAACGTTTTTATACATTTTTACTTACGCTTAACAAAAAAATAATTGAAAACATTTTTCCTTTGTTTTGTTTTGTTTTTAAATCAGCAATAACATTCTAGCGCTGATTTAAATTGCAAAATTTGAACCTCAAAGATAAATGTTATTGTTCTGTAAATACACAGGTATAAAGTAATGTAATTCATTATGATTTGGTTTTATAATTACCAAAAAGTCTATTGTTGATGTTTAATAGATAAAGTGCATAAAAAGTATGTAGATGCTAGAGCAAAGATGTAACACTAATTATTATATAGCAAAAAAAAATAGTAGACAAAAAGTCAACATCTATTTGTAGCATTTACTCGCGTAGCAATTGTGAATCCAGAATTAGTGTAACAATATAATATATTTGTTAATATCATAATTTGTTAGCGGTAGCACCCATCAGACAAAAGGTCAGTTCGTTGATTAATGTAAATAACATCTGACAGCTTTCCTTTTTGTTTTTATGAATGATTTATTAACTTCTGATTAACTCATTTAAGTCAGTAATTTAGTTGTTACAAAAATTAAAAACCGAATCGACAACAATTTGGGTAAATTTTCTGGACACACCCGATTGAGAATAGTTTTTACGGTGTCCATGTCATATGACGTTTAATTTTCGAAAATGACTAAAAGTAAAATTGTTAAAGGTTGTGGAGTTCTAACACTGTACCTACAAGTATTTCGTACATTGTTACCATTATTTTCAAGCTTTTTTTTTCTGTTTTTAACAATTACCTTTAGAAATGGCTACGGTTAAAACCGCCTTCTACTTTTCTACAACTTCTATTACGTTATAGATACAAAAATGTATGAAATAATAACAAAATTTTGTGGAAACGCAAAGGCATATTCAACCAAACCGGAAATACGTAATAAACACGTATTAAATTAGAGTTAGGCATAAGAAGACTGTACAAAAAGGCGAAATTTGGGACACAACAAAAAAGCGGGAAATTTTAAGCAGAAAATTAATGTATGCTTAAAATAATAAAGTAGACTGCTAAACAAATGCACCGTTGTTTCAGCTGCCCAAGCTTTCAAAGCTGCAATGGGCTCTAGCCACTTTTTTTTGCTGTCCCGAATTAAAAGTAGAATAGGAAGAAAGTGGTTGAATTTGTCTTTTAATTAAAATTTATCTACACGTTGCATTAAAATAAAATGCATAATAAGTAAATTTGCAACGAATACAGTGTGCTCGATCTAGAATGCTGTAATTTCGACTATTTTTTGTATCACAAAGCATTATGTGAAATATTTATTACAAAAGTGCGAAAATTATGTACTTTTAATTATTTCTAATTGGGCTCATTTTATAGAAATGAATTATTAATAACTAGCTTTTTCTTAGGTGTTCACTAAACAGTGGTATTGGTAAAATTAATTTCTTAATTAATTATATACTTTTTTACTTTTATAATTCTGAATTGCTTATTTATATATAATTAGAATAATTATTCCAATAGAATAATTTTATGATCTCATATTATAAAAAAAAAAACAGTAAGTTAATTG